CCCGGTAAACTCGGTCCTTTTGGCCTTGTCTAGCCCATGCGTACAGATTTCAATTATGTCGGAAATAGCAATGCTTTATATAGGCATTGACTTGGGTCTCTTCCAGACAGAAATGCGGTTCACGCAGTTTTTTTTTTTTTTTTTTGTTTTTTTTTTTACTGTTTGACTCTCAAACAGGTTTTATTTCAAACTTAGAGCTCGAAGAGCCATCGGCTCAGCTCTTAGACGATCAAACGGTATATACTGCCCACTTCCTTTCCTATAGGGTTAGGGTTATATTGCCACTCCAATACTGACAGTGAGAACGAAGAAGAAAAGTCGATTTTTCTTACTTATAGAATAACTATAAGTAGCTATGCGATGTCATCAAATGTTCTGACCAGGGACTGCAATCTATTACATTGTGGAATGAGTGGTTGAGAGGAAAATTGGATTGGATGCCCATCAAGGGCTCGAATTCGAATCCCGACTCAATCGGGATTTGTGTTTGAGGAGGCAGCACCGAAAACTATAGTCACCTTAGTCATGTAATTCAGTTTTTAATAGATCTAGACTCAGAAATAAAATGTTACCAATAGTTCTGTTTATCGCAATTTCATGACTTAGCTTTCTCAATGCGTTATGATATTATCACTTGTCTGGACCAGTTGGTAAAAAAGAGGGGGAGGGGAGAATGGGGTATCTGGTTCAGTGCATTAATGTTATCGTGATCGCTTTTTTTTTTTAATGTATTTTATTTAAAACAAAACAAAAGTCACTTCCTTCAACTTAGCCGGAGTTTATCATGTCTCTATTCCTATCTTTTTTTTTTTCTCCCCAGTGTGAAAAAGTGCGCTGGTTCACACCATATGTGTCAGTGCGGGGACTGAGTTAAAACAGTATAAAGGGTACTAATTCAACTTATAACACATTTGTCAAGTAAAATTTCTCTCCCTTGTTTTCGATATCAAACAAAATAATAATTTACCAATAGTTAATTGACTGAAATGTTATGTTTTCAACTGATTCTTGTTCTGTCAGGTACAACAAATAATTGTGCAAACTTTCAGCTGGAGCCGAGAATGGGTGTGGGAGAAATAACATGTATAAACTTTTGACTATTCAGAGCTGATATAAGCTTTGTAAAAATAGTGATATAGGGCTAGAGTGGAATTAATTATTTATTGATACTTTAACAATAAAAAAAAAAGTATTTTTTTAAAGTAATCAATCAACCTATTTAGAATTTGTACGATTTGGGTGGCCCTGAAAAGGGCCGTAGAAAAAAATTTTGAAATACACGAAAACTGTATTTTAAAGTGTCACTCAGTTCTTTTTGTGGCTTCTGCGTTTGTGGCTCCTGTGGTGGTCCCCGCGTGGTTTCTTTCGCTGGTGTTTTCGCTCCGGTGCTTCTTCTTCAGAGTTCTCCTCCCTTGCGGAAGAGTGCCTCCTTCGGCGATTCTGCTTCGTTTCCGTTATCATGTAGCGTTCAGTCCCTTCTGGTCTCTCGACTATCCCTTGGTCCACGGCCTTGTACAGCGCTTTGGCGACCAGGGCTTTAGCGATCCTGGCGTTCATCAAGTCCCTGTCCACCAGATACTCCGCCACTTCGTCCCGTGTGGATCCCTCGTTGTTTCTCAGCGCCTTGATGGCGTTGATGATCAAGTCCTGTTGGGTGAGCGCCTTCCTGCATTTCGACTCCGGGCTTTGAGATGTGTCAGATTCGGCGGACGACATGATGCTCTCCTTGTTTCCTATTTTGCTAGTCTTTCCTTTAAACTGGCTGCCAAAATGTATGGCGTGCGCTCTTTGATTGGCAGAGCCACGGGCGCGCGCGAGAGAGCTACATCAATCAGTACCAGCCAAGCGAACCTCCGAGAAGTCGAAAATGTAGCCAAATCAACAAGATTTAGAGCTACACCTGCTTCTAGATTTAGTGCGCAAGTGTGCAATGCTCGTTCTGGGGCGAAAAAAAAAGTGTATCGACTTATCCAATAATTGTAGCCTAGTGCCATAGGAGAATGGAATGGGTTGCAGGAAAACCAACGCCTTAGCAGAGATCCAGTAATAAGATTGCCAAGGATTGACTAAGCTTTTTTTTTCTCCCTGAAAGTTTATTTATATCAACGTGTAATGGAAGATATTTGTAAGTTTTCACTAATCATTCATGTGTACGACATCAACCATACAGTTTTTATAAATCCGATGTAATCCTTATACGTCAGTCATAAAATGTTTCTTTTTAATCTTCCTAGTTAATAATAAATAGCAAAGTATAATGGTAAGCTATTTCAACTGTTTTCTAATCTCTCATCGATAGATTCAACAAAACTATAAATCATGCATTTGTTTTCTAAATACTGCTTAGGAAATTTACGATTTGTTGTAACATCCAAATAGGCAGAATCAATAAGCAACAAATGGATAACATATTGTAATAACTTATGTGAGGCAACTCAACGAGGCTCATATATGTTTATCTACACGATATCACAGGTACACAAAACAACATCTTCTCTTAGCACAGTCTTTTCACTTTGGCTCTCAACTTGGGTAGAAATCGTTCTCCTCTCCTCCTAATGTTGACATCCTTTTCAGTCTAGTCTATCACAATGCGTACCTTATAGCTTAGATGGCGGTGCGCATGGCAGAGTTATAACAATATTCTAGAGAGATAGTTTTATTACTACGCAACGCTGTTCCTTATCGGCTCACCTACTTCTTCTTCCTCGTTCCCATTGTCATGTTGGAGCGTTCAGATGACTAGACCAATATATGAGATGAACTGCGCAGTGGTTTCCAAATCAGGGAACTCTCCATATAGCTTTCTTTCTATTGGGGTGTTTTGGAGCCAGTGTCTTATTCGATAGAGAAAGAGAAACAGAAAGAGAGAGGACGGAAAATGAGATAAAGAGAAACAAAGAGAGAGAAAGAAAGAAAGTACCAAAGAGATAAAACAAAGAGAGAGGAGAATGGAAGAGAAAGAGAGAGAAACAAAGAGAAAGAAAGAGGGTACACACTTATTACGTTGAGAGCACTTCATCTTTCATCTAGATATCGCCACTCAAATTTGACATCTTAATTGTATCAGTTTGAACTTAGGAAACAAGGATTTCCCCAAAACACCGATTGACTATCTTGCTACGCCGAGAGTATCACGTTTACCCTGATTATTTTTCAATCAGCACTAATGGTCTCACTATAGAAATGAATACAATTTAGAAATATCCCTTTAATGTCGTGTGTAAACAATGCAGGACTACAAAAAAGGGGGTGGGGGGCTTTCTAATGCGAATAAAAACAGCACTGAGAGAGTAGTGGCGTGTCATGTGATTTGTCAGAACCAATCAAATGAACGTCGTCATCTAATTTTGTTTGTTTTTTTTAATTCGAATGAAAAAAAAATGATTAAATTAGTTTTAAAATGTTCGCTTTATTATTTATTTATAATTTACTAGCAGTACACACCAGCTACGCCCGTTGTTTTGTTCCCATGGCAGGAACCTCCCCTTCTTTTGAAATTTCAATAAACGTACCACATTTTAAGCAACCCCCCTAATGTAGGGTACATTTTTAACAACCCCCCTAACGTAGGCTACATTTTAACAACCCCCCTAACGTAGGCTACATTTTAACAACCCCCCTATCGTCGGCTACATTTTAACAACCACCCTATACCATATGCTACATTTTAACAACCCCCCTTAACGTAGGCTACATTTTGACAACCCCCCCCCCCCCCCCCCCCCCAACGTAGGCTACATTTTAGCCCGTGAATGAGTGTATCTGTTATGACGAAATGTAACGTCCCGCACTCTGTCCTTCTCTCTCTCTTTCTAGTATCCACATTTTTTTTTTTTTTTTTTACACTCCCGCGCATCGCAAATCTCTCCGACATAGACGTTCGATTTGATTTAGAAAGATCAGCTTTATAACGCCATTCCAGGCACACATAAATATGCTAGCCCTTGAATTCTAGTTGGGCCTATCAATTGTATTTATCTGCTCCCCACCCCTTTTTTAACTACCTCCCTCCCCTATCAGAAAAAGTTAGTCCCACTGACTTTTCTTCGGCTTCTCAAGATTCAATAGACTCTTTATTGCTTTTGGACCCTAACCCCATTACCTCACACCCAAACACCCCCCCCCCCCCCCCACTTTCGCACTTTTTGGCCTTGCTTTTTTTTTTTTATTTGAAAGACATTCTTTAACATCCTTTAGCCTCCTCCATTGGATAGACCCTTCATCAGCTATAAATCTATATATAGCATCAATTTTTAGTTTTAACCCTATTTCGCATCTTTTAATCATAAGCAGGCCTAATAGACTCTTAGTAAATGTCAACAATTAAGTAAATGATCAGCACATAAATACAATGTTGTTCATTATTTCTTTATTCAGCAAAGAAATGATACTAAATTAAAAAAAAAAAAAAAAGCTGTTCTGTAGAGCAGGATATACAATGTAGTCATGAAGTTTATGAATGATCAGACATTTTAAAACAAATTCACAAATGACTCAATACAAACCTTTCAAGTCCACAATGTATTCAGAAAGAAAAACAACATGACATTTAAAAAAAAAAAAAAAAAGCTCAAATATAAACTGTAATGGTGATAAGCACAATATTGAAATTAACATTTTTTGGCTGACATTGTTTTGAGACATTGTGCTTTATATGCCAGATTTTTTTCCCATTTTCAGCTAATAATGATAACAGACATTTCATGAGTGAAATGTAAAAGGAAAAGTGGAATGTTATTAACACACAAGAGCTAAATGCCTTCTACAAGCTGGCAGTTCTCCCTAATGTGTTGGTTGGATGTCTTTTAAAAGAATTATTCCCTCTCAAACATTTGTTTCACTTTAAATATTTTCAGTAAAGCAACTAAGGGCAAATATAGAATGTACCAGATATCGGATGCACACCAGGTGTTTATTGTTAAAGTATGCATACAGCCACTCAGAAATAGATGTTATTAAATATCCAGATCTGTCTGCATTTTTTTTTAATTAAGCTCCAAAAAAAAAAAAAAAAAAAATGAATTTGAAAATATGTAAAGATCTAATATTCAAGTACAAAAATAAATGTTAATGAGGTCTTCTATAAGACAATATCTTTACAATGTAAATAGTAATCTTTACGTAAGAAAATGAAACAGCTGTTGAGATTATGAAGCGTCAATGATAAACTGCTATGAGATGAACATGTTGTATACCAGCAAGCAATGACCACATTGAATTAGAAGGTCAAGGTCATCATGATCTTTATTCTACATAGGTGGCGCCGAGACATCAATATCATCAAGTTGAAAAAAATGGATAGGAAAATAAATGAAAACAAAAAAATACAAGTAAATGTTTACATCAAATTCCTTTTTTTCTTTGGTGAAAATTTCACAAAATTATAAAATTAATAATAAAAATTCTCACTTTATAAAATGTTTGTAAGCTACCTGTACTCAAATAAATGTAAATATTCTACATAACCATAAATGTCCAGGTTTGTACTGATTTAAAAAAAAATAATAAAATAAAAAACGTTATTCGTTATATATATTATAAAAAAAAAAAGCATTTTACATTGTATGTCAACCTAAGTGAATTTTTTGTTCAGAATATTATTATTTACTATTCTATTTTCCATTTCATTAAATAGCCTTAAAAAAAAAAAAAAAAAGCATTGGGCAAAATAACATCAGTTTGATCATCACAATTTAATTATAACATTAATGTCCATTTCATGGAATGGGAAGAGGGAATTAGTTTTCAACTTTGACCTATTTACAAAAAACATTGTGCCAAAAATCTGGCCAAGCAAACAAACATGGAAGAATGTGTAAGAATTTTGTTCACCCTGGTAGCATCAAATTATATAAATATACAAGATGTCTTTGAAGCCACTAAATACTCAGGTGAAATAAAATGTAGACATGGTGAAATGAAGTAAGCAAACAATCAAAAAACTATCTATGCATACATTATAATGGTCGAGAAAAATACTGTAGACACTTAAACTGAATGAGTAAGTAAGAATTAAAAGAAGAGCATTTTATTGACAAGATGAAATTTATAATTAACTGAAAAATTATTATCATTAACTAATTTAGATGTAATGATGTGCAGTTCAAAGTGTTAACATTACAGATCATTGAGCCATTGCTTTTTTTTACACGCTGGATGAGATTTTAACAAATTTAAGTCAATGATAAGTCTGCCTTGAAATACTGCACTATTCCTTAAACTTTGGACTCAAAGACAAAACCTATTTCATTTATTTCTTAAAAATGGAGTTTCTTTTTTTTTAAATATTTGCTTTACATTTTTTAAGTACATTTAATTTTTTATACATGGGGGGGGGTCTTGTTCTTTTATTTTAGAATCGAAGAAACTAAATCCTAGGCTAAACCTCAAGCTGGACAATTGCACCCATCCAATCATTATTGTAATTATGTCTAGAAATAAGTAAAAAAAAAAATTAATTTGTATGACTACATTTTTCATTTAAGTTCACAATGGCTCACATTGACCTGGACGTGTAAGTAAAACTTACACTAGATCTGTGGGCCTTCAATAGAGGAGACTTACTATTGTACTACTAAACTATACTTTCAATATACTACAGGACATAAGCCTAAGCCCATCAGATTATAATAAATGCCTACATCAAGTAATATATTTTGTTTGAATAAAAATGTAAAAAAAATACACATTCTAGAACTATATACATAGCATTTAAGACATAAGAAACATTCAACTATTATCGTTTTGCAAAAAAAAAAAAAACATTTTTTTTTAAAGAAAGAAAAATAAAGCAAGAGAGGATGACAGTTCTATATTTTATGTAATGGGATTATACTCAAATGCTGTTAAAGAACAGCATGTAAAAGGGATCTAGCATAACATGGTATAAATAAGATTTAGAAGCTATACAGTCTAGTGAGCATCGGAACGTTTCCACATGGTGAAGTAACCGAGGTCTTCATCTTGAATGTTGCTGATGATGCGCTTGGGGTTCCTGGTGCGGGTGATGAGGAGGGCCAAGCTGCCTATTGTCCCACCAACTTTAGAAAGCTCACTGAATTGTACATGATGCCTTGGCCACAGAATCTTTTCATCCAATGCCTGTGGAGATAGTCATAAAATAAGTTTTGGACCCAATATGTCTTTGAATAAATTTAAAATAGGTATGCTTAAAAATCACAACTGTCAACTGGTGATATCTTCGCTATGACTATGTTAAATATTTGGCAAAAAAAATGAAAGATTTATTTATTTAGTTAATGACAGTTATTAAGCGATAGTAACATGAAGCTGAAATAATTTAAATGACAGATGAAATAGCACAGAGCCTCGATAGTTATTATATGTAGTATTTTGGAGATTTTTTAGTGACAGGGACAACAGAGAATGGATACCATAATTCATCTGTTACTGAACATATTAATTTTAACCCTGACTTTTCAGCTTATTTCTTGTTGAGCTGTTGTGACGTAATTAAGCAATACAAGCCCTAAGTTAAATACAAATATAGTGAATATATAGGCATTGGTATTGTCTTCGAATACTGAAACACAAACTAAACACAAATGGGGAAGACTGGGAATTTTTACCAGAGGGGAGAAGTTAAATCACTTAAAAAAAAATAAAAAAGCAGAAATTTGTTAGTGTTAGTTCAATCCATGCAAATTCCCAGCAACTAAATCAATCAAGATTTTCTCTTAAAATATCAAAAAGTTGTGATATAAAGCAACTGTAATAAAAAAAATGAACAAATTCATGAGCCTATTTAACAAATATTGCACGTTTTTTCTCCCACACCCATTCTTGGATCAAGCTGAAACTTCGCAATTATTCATTGACATAGACAAGACATGAATAAAAAAAAATTAATTAGACAATAAATTACTGGTAATTCATTATTTTGTTTAATAGAAACAAGGGAAACTAAAACTCCAGTATTCATATATATGGATAAATTTGTCAGGTTTAGTCCACTTAAATAACTGTTAACGCTATTTCTCATTCACGCATTTTCCGATTTATAGTACCTAACAAAACATGAATTACTAAACAAAAATACTCAATTCGTCAATTAATTATTTGTAATTAATTATTCTGTTTGATATCAAATATAACATGTACATTATTGATATAGTTTTAAGAACTGAGTTCTTCTCCTTTAGATGAGCTTCGTTTTTTTTTTAACAGTTTTATTTTTAATTTTGATTGTTTATATATTTCCTTTGAACTTAAAAAATAAATCTCACAGTTGAAAATGTTCAGTAAATTTGCAATAAACCAGAACTGCCTATACAACGAAGAGTCATAAAATCCAAAGCAAAGCATGCCTTTTTTTTTGTTTCTGTAAAACTTACAAGTCAAGCATAGACAATGTTTGTCTGGTTGCTCAGTTTTAACACCAACAAAGCCAGGCCAGTGATTCCACGCCCTTGGAAGGTCAGCTGGTTCATACTGACCTGCACCCGCTGAATCACCTCACAGTCAATGAACTGGTCCAACATCTAGACAGACCCAAAAACATATGAAAGCACAGCAAAGGCTGTGGATGGAAGCCTTTAATGCTGTAAGGTGACGTTAACATTCAGCATGCTGTTATCACTGATTTCCATTCTATGCTGTGAGCTCAACAGTGGAATCATGCGGTGAGCACTTCTAGTCATTTTGTGCTTTAATTCAAGTCCATGGCAATGCTTATGCACATAAAAATCTAGCTCTCGTCAACATGCCACTATTTTCCTATCAGGTGAAGTGCAATCTACTTTTAGAATGAAGCAGTGTGGGTGCTTTAAGGTTGTTGTTTTTTTTAAAAAGCTGACTAAATTACCATCACATGCAATACATCAGTCAGTCATAATATCATATATTTAAAGTATGAAATTAAATTCATTCAGTCAAGTTATAAATTTAAATTATTCGATGCATTCAAATTCATTATCTTTTTTTAGCAATTAATTTATTCCATTAAGAATATAAATGTATTTATTCATTCAAATTCTAAAAGTCAGTACATCAGTCAGTCACAAAATAAAGTTTGTACTAAGGAATCTAAAATATTGCATAAGAGAAGCAGCCATTCTAGTTAGAAATTGAATTATAAAGACAATGAGTAGCACTGGCCTATGAATGTGAGCTAAGTTAAATTTTCAAAATAATTGTCCATAACATAACTAAACAAAGCATTACATTTTCATGTTACGAATACAAATCTTGCACAGATCACTAAATATAATTGAGAAAAAGTTTAAAGATAATTGGAAAGTTAAATATTGGCTAAATTGATTAAATAACTGTACTTTTTTTTTTACATAAAATAAAATTGTTAAGAGATAAGGCACATGCTATTATTTATAAATAATCAATATGTCATATTAAATATATATCTTTAAAACATTAAAACAAAAATTTAGGAGATATGACTCAGTAATATATGAGTGGTTTAAATAATAAATAGAAAGCTGAAATAGACTCAATACCGGTATGTAAATTTTATTGTTTTCAATTGAAGTACCCAGTACTGATATGTAGACTAGACAATCTTTATTAATCAAATTTACATTTAAAAAAAAACAATTTATATAAATAATTATTTATTCTCCATGAAATTTTTTCTACTTTTATTCTACATCTTAACACTAGTAGTAATCACAAAATAAATTCTGTTTATTTTTTTTTTTATAAAATTAAAAAAAAATCTGCCAAAGAAATTACAATTACCTTAAAAGCTACAAAATGAAAAAATCTTTCAAAGAATAATGAAGATTCAATGAAATAATGTGTAAAAGAAAAATCAGAATAATCAGAACGTACGCCATAGCTTTTATCTCCCATCTCATTTCTAACATGGTGGATCAGGTGACCATTGACAAACAGCATGTCTGTGGCTAGGGTTGTATCCATCTGCATCACATTGTAGGGGTAGTCAGCTACATCTTGCATTTGCTAGAGTTCAAAATATCAGAACAGAAAAGTAAATGATAAAATAGTTCAGCGATCAAATTAAAAACAGTTTAACACTATTTGCCAGTGAACCAATCATAGGGAATGCATTGTCATTCAGCCAGTTATCTGAAAGCAATTCCCCTTGATTTCCAACCTAGTACTTTATTAAAATATTGGCTTCAAATGTTGTTGTCATGTAGCAATGGAAATTTTGGTCACACTGTAACTGTGTTTTTGCGCACAAACTGTATCTTCTGGTTGTACTTGTTATAGGATGCTGTATTGAGGCCATAGAACTTTTGATTTATTGGACCTGTCTTTAGGCTTTGCTTTCCTCTTGCATCTTCTAGGTTAGTGTTAGGGTTTGTTTGAATAATATATGGCAGAAATAGTTTTGACATTTAAGATTTTTATTTTTTAGATGTTAGTGCAAGTGCATGTGTTCTTTATTTTCAATAGGGGAGCTAGCTTGGGTTAGCGTTGTACTGTTGATTGCTTCAGCAATCTGATGTTGGTGGGCCAGTTTTGTGGCCGATAAGTGATACTTGAGTGTGAGCATGTTTGCACTGTGATTGGCTTGTGAAGCTGCAAGGTGCAGATTGATTAGTCTTTGTTCATATCATGAGCATCTTTTATATTTTATCAACAGCATGTGTAGTGATTACTCATATTTCCAATGTTTACAACATTGAAATTAACCATCATTTTCATCCCTTCAGTAGATTGTAAATATTTTATTTGTACCTCATGTTGGTCATTTATATATTGTTATATTTATTTATTCAATATTCACTTGACATATTTCTTATTATTAGAATGTCAGGGGCCCAGGCAAATGAGACAAGGTTTAAAAATCAATGACAGTTGTCAAAGCCAGGGGTCTTAATGGGGATAAACTTTCACCATCTAAAAAACTCTCTTAAATGGTATGCGTTTAAAAAAAATACAAGGCAAAAGAAAAAAAAAAAAAGAGATCCCAATAATGTGCTATAAAGCAGAAACTGAGTGCATCCATTGTCTTTTGAGACAGGAGGAGTTTGGTAAATAAAAAAAAAAATTACAAACCCTTAAAACCAACTGGACATCTGGACCAGGAGCTACTGCCATGACATTGCGGCCAGCCATGTTAAAAACATCTTTCAGGTGCAAAGCTTGACAGTTGGCAAAGTTTACTTTGGAAACTGCATATTCAGGAAACGCTTCTGCCACTGCCTGGGCTCCAAAATCATTAGTCCTCTTTCCAACGCCAACAAAGAT